ACTGTACACCAATAGAACTTATGGTTTTCTATCTAGCTATAATTTTGTATCCATTAACCAGCCTCTAACTTTTCCCCCACTTTCTTTCTCTTTCCCTCCTCTAGTAACTAGAGTTCTTCTCTCTCCTTTTAACAGTTCAACTTACTATTATTCATTTGTTCATTTTTTGTTTTTATTTTTTAGCTCCCATATATGAGTGGGAACATGCAGTATTTGTCTTTCTCTGCCTGGCTTATTTCACATTAATATATTTTCTCCAAGTTCATCCATGCTGCTGTGATTGGTAGAATTTCATTCTTTATGCCTGTGTAGTATTCCATAGTGTATATACACCCACATTTTCTTTATCTAATCGTCCACTGATGTATATTTATTTTCAAAATAAAACACAAAGGAATAAATACAGAATTCTGGTCCCCAAACCCAAAGTAGTATCTCTGGGGTCCAGGCCTGAAAATCTTAACTTTTGACACAGTCCCAGGTGATCCTTATGATCAGGCATGTTTGAGACTTATATAATATTAAGAAAAATAACAGTCTTCAATCATGCCAGGCAGAAACTAAGAATTCAAACAGGACCCAATTGATTGAATAACAACCTAAAAAAGTAAACCAATCAGTAAAATTTTAGAAATCTATAAACTTTTGAAAAGCAAGTAGTATCAATGAATTTAAATAAGGGAAAATACACCTACATATTGCCTCACAGGTTTCAGATGCTCAAAGAGGCTACCTACCTTCCCTTTCCTTTGAGCCACTAATTTGTTTCTTTCTTGCTGCCCTATAGTCTCTTTCTTATAAAATTTTATAATTTTTGCCAAAATGTTATGTAAGGCAGTGTAATTTCTAAGTTGTTATAACCATGACTGTTAACTTATTTCTCCCCTAATATTCAGTAAATCCTTTCAGATTTCCCTATCCCTCAACAACAGCAAAAAGTGTCATATGTTGAAGAGACTGACTTTGGCTTCGTATCAGACAGAAACCAGATTAGAAAACTGAGATGTGTCTCCAAAACAGGTTAGTATTACAAGGTCCAGAGAGCTCTTAATAGCAGAAGCCTTGGCATTTGGGGGTATTAGGATGCGTACAGGGGAAACTAAGTTGAGTGGAACATAATAAAGAACAAAAGCAGACATAAGCTGGACAGAATGAGGTTGGTAAGGCTGGGGCTTTCTGCCTCGCAAGGCAGCCCTGATAACTTAAATGGCATCCTACATCAAGAAAGTATTTACATGGATATCACTTGCTGCATTCAACACTGCACCTGTGTTACATGCTTGCTTTTTAATTTCACCTTTGTAAACAGTGACAAACAAGCAGAGTTCAATAAAACTACAAATTCTAGAACCCACAAAACGGATATTTGAAACTTCAATCACAAAACCCTGAAGGGTGATGGTCAGCTCTTTCCAGTTGAGTATTTATTAATATCTACCCTGGCTTCTGGGCAAGGGAGCCTCTGGGCAGGTGAGAATCTCTAGGCATGAAGCTTGGAGACCTGCACATGCATTCTAAAAAAAGTGTGTCCTGTCTATCTCTAGTGCCTTCAGCCCTGAGAGGACAGAAAAGAAAGCAGGATGTCACTGTCTGGACATTTCCTTCTGCTTCTTAATGGAGGCTGCAGAAACGGTTCCTATAAAATCCTCTGCAGCTACCACAATCCCTATTTGGGTTTAACATGTAACTGTTAGAAGATGATATAATAAAAAAAGAGCAAATTAAAACCAAAGCAGGCATAAGAAAAGAAATAGA